ACTGGAGGGATATTCTCTGAAAGGAAACTGCTACCAATGATAAACCATGAAGTATCAGTAAGTATAGCAATAATGATGTTATTTTTTTGATAATAATGTTACGTTGAAATTGTTACAATTTAGAATTGTCTATTTTGTATTACATTTTCTGATGCATGAACATGTACTTATATTCCGTTCCTTCTCCAGGTGGTTGGCTGGGGTGTTGAAAATGGAGTTGAGTATTGGATAGTCCGTAACTCCTGGGGCACCTACTGGGGGGAGAACGGGTTCTTCCGTATAATGATGCACAAAGACAACCTGGCAATAGAGACAGAGTGTGACTGGGGAGTACCTCTACTGAAGGAACCAAACAAACAACATCAAGTCCATAAACAACAACAACAACAACAACAACAATATAAATGTTCTTGTGTGAAGAAAAGTGATTCAGTAAGTCATTTATTAAATTATTTAATTATTTGTTTGTCACCAGGTTAAGACTCATGTCCATACTCCTGAGCCCCATACTTACATTAAACTGGAGGATATTCCAGCTGCTTATGATATTAGGAACATTAATGGGAATGATTATTCAACTGTTAACAGAAATCAGCACATTCCTCAATGTAAGCAATTTGATTGGTCAATACAAACTGTGCACGAATATATATGTATTATCAAAACTTTCACTGTTTTTTCTGATTAGCAATCAAAACTATGAAATTAAAACATTAATTAAATCTGTACGATAACATTAAAAATTTGCAAAAAAAAGCTATTTCTGCTATAAAACTTATTTTTATTAATTTTCAAAAGCAGTACCTACACAGCCTCTATTGTTGCTATGGTAACTAGCCCCTCTCTCCATTAGATTGCGGTTCCTGCTGGGCCATGGGTACCACCTCAGCTCTGAGTGACAGGATCAAACTGATGAGGAAAGGAGCTTATCCTGTCATTAACCTATCACCTCAAGTACTGGTGGACTGTGTCACTGTAAGAGCATACAACAGATTATTATTGTTATTGTTATTATTATTATTATTGTTATTATTATTATCATTATTATTATTATTATTATTATTATTATTATTATTATTATTATTATTTACAGGCTAATAATTCTCATGGTTGTGACGGAGGTGATCCTACAGCTGCTTATTCTTATATTTATGAAAATGGTGTACCGGATGAGACATGTACCAACTACCTGGCAAAGACCCAGTCTTGTGAGCCAGAGAATGTTTGCCGTAACTGTGACCCATCAGGGAAGTGTTTCGCTGTACAGAAATACACCAAAGTAAGCAACAGGTAGTATTAGGAGGAGGAATGAGGGGAATTTTGTACCATTTTGTGCATGCTCAGCCACAAATTTTAACTAGCTACTTATCAAATATTTACCTAATTCTGTTACTGTATCAATTGCTCCTATAGTATCAGGTGACAGAACATGGTAGAGTATCAGGAGAGGATAAGATGTTGAGTGAGATCTATGCACGAGGCCCCATTGCCTGTACTATTGCAGTGACTTCAGCCTTTGAACAATACACTGGAGGAGTCTTCAATGACACTACTGGAGCTAAAGTACAATTGATAATGTACTTAATGTATTACCTATTGCCTGTCTATCTATTGTATAGTCACTGGATCATGAGATATCCATTGCTGGTTGGGGAGTTACTAGTGAAGGAGTTAAGTACTGGATTGGACGCAACTCATGTACGTGCATTATCATAATAATACACCTACCGCTATATGTATATACTGTTCAATACAAAACTTTTGCTATTTTTCTGATTAACAAATGATGACATGGTGCTAAAATCGTATTTATATTCATTTATAATTTATAACAGTTAGAGCTCTATAATCATACATTATCTCTCTTTCTCTCTGTTACTGTAGGGGGTACCTATTGGGGTGAAGCTGGCTGGTTTAGGCTAATAAGAGGAGTTGATAACCTTGGGGTTGAGTCCAACTGTGACTGGGCTGTCCCTGCTGCTATTCACTAACTACTGAACTCCTACAGCTGCTTACCATTGTATTATTGTATATTTTGTGTAGTTCCCTTTTGTTATTTATTGCTGGTTCAGCTGTTTGCTTTAATCTTTACCAATAATTAAGCCTCAGGTCCACGTGTAGGCACGTGGTTTTTGTATACGAATGTACATATCCGTAAAATCAATTTTAATCACGTGATACTTCGCGAGGCATGCCCAGTACTGCACGTGGCAGGCCCAGGCAGGCAAGGTTACTATTCCCGCCATCTTCATAATTTGAAAAGAAGATGAGTAAGTTGAGGAGTAAGTTCTCTCTGTATCTCTTCCTGCTAAGTTCCTGGCCTCCTCTCTCTCTCTTACTAACAGCCTCCATTGGTAAATATCTACTTATCTAACCTCTTCCTTTTTAGTATCCGCCATTTATCACCACTCCTCCACCATACCTCCAGTATCCTCAGTGTCTGGTAAGTGATTCCTTTATTATCT